GGAAAGCAGAGGGAAGACTGTATATAATACAGCTGCCTCTTCAGAGGCCATTTTGAGTTTCATGTCCTCCTTCCCTTACTTGGGGGGATCTTGTGGGAGTGGGCACTGTAGATTCCCCTGACTGTAACGAACCTTGTTCATGCAGCCCACTACTTCTGAGCTGCCAGTCTTGATCAACACATTTGTTCTGTTTTCTCTAGTCTTGACAGCACTGTAAGCCAGCATGCCTACACCAGCATGGCATTCAACATGGTAGAAACTGCTCTGTAAATTGAAACAGGTGATGCTGAGGCCCCCACATCTCCACAAGGTGTGCTTTGGGAGGTTTACTTTGGGAGGTTTAGTCTGGCGTGCTGTGCAAATGCTGCGGCAATACATGTGGTTAAAGCCTTCGGGAAGAGGAAGCTGCCCCACGCAGCCCCGCTCTCTCAGCTGTGGTCCCTCAGGACAGATCCTGGGAAGTGTCATGCTGTCCCTTTGTCTGTCTCACAGCTTAAAGGGGATGACAACACATCCTCATCCCTACTGGAGCCCCACCACTGCTTCCAGTGTGTGGAAGTAAGCCTGTATTTGTTCCTGCTCAGGCTGCTTCGGAGCAGTGTCGTGGTGGCTGCTGCTCCCTCCTCCCCACTCCAAGACGAAGCAAAGCACAGGCGCAAGAGCTGTATGGACAATCAGCAAGATTAATCCCTTCTGTCTAGTTTAACATATTCAGGCACTAACCCATACAACCGTTGCAGTGCTCTAAAAACACGGTGCCTGCAGACAACAGCAGCACTGAGGGAGTTAAGGGGCTCAGGCTCCCAGATAAATGCTCTGTAAATGCTTTCTTGCCCGATTGCCCCTCCTCTACAGCTCCACATTTCTCCTCCCTGCTCCCTCCCACTTAGAGGGCAAATAGGCACTAGATACACTGTAGAGGTAGCAGCAGAGTATTGAGTGCTTGCCACCAAGTCGGAGGGACTATCGGCATCCTTCGTTCTCTGCATTTCTCGGTGGCTGTGAAAAGACAGGCTGCTGTGTGAAAGCTGTGATTATTGCCAGCTCCCACCACCCTCTGCCCTCCCAGCCCCATCGCTGATTCACAGAGGTCAGGCTCTTTCCTGCCTTGTGCTTTTGATCTATAAAGCTTTTCTTGTCAGCAGTGACCCAGCCACATCTCTGTGCATTTCCAGTACACTGGAGGAGCCCTTCATGAATGTCAGTTTGCATTTGGTCCTGGGCCTGTTAACCTTGACCCCCGGCCCCAGTGTGGGCTATGGCCATTAAACCCAGCTGTCCGGGCTTTCATCACCATGTGGATTGTTTCCGCAGCGCTCTGGTGCTTGTGGCTTTCTGCTGGTGGGGATGGCTGGGGGCATATGCAGGTCTGCACAGCAGCCGTGCGTGTGCTGGACAGGCCCGCTGGCACCACAAACCCACCCGAGCGCCTCTGTTCCCCCGGCACCCTCACCTTTGGGTGTAGCTTTCTCCTCGCAGCCTGTGCTGCGGCTGGCTTTTTCTAGAGGGAGAAGCTGAGCCCAGAGCTTTCGCAGTGCCTTTTGGCAGCTCCCCTCACCGAGCAGGGTGCACCTTTCTCTTCTCTCATTCTCTCATGGCTTCCAGTGCACGTATCACTGGGAATTCTTGGGCTGTAGTAGCCTTCTCTGGGTTTGCCAGTCGCAGCCTCCTGCCTCTCTATGTCTCTCAGCTGGGAGCGTGTCAGGATGTCCCCCCTAAGGCAGGCATGAGGAAAGCCCTGGTCCCACATTAAGATGCTCCCAGCAGCACATGGCAAATGCCCCAAGGGTTCGGAGATGTTGAGTACTGTGCAGAGGCAGGTGGATGTAGTAAATGCACTGACACAACAGGACTGCAATGCTCCATCCTCCTGGAAACCACTTCCTTAGAGGTCAGCACTCTAAAATACCTTCGGCTGTCCTGGGTTCTGTACCTGGGCCACAAGCAGCAGCAGAAATGCTCACGTGCCTGCAAGAAAGGAGCCTGCTGATGGAAACTGAGAATATAAGAGCTTAGCCCCATGGGTTTTAACATCTTTACTTCACCCCGCCCAAGGATGCAGCTCAGATACTGCATGATAAATGGTCGTGGAGACTGTTTCACTTGTCTTAGCCTCTTGAGAGGTTTTGGTTGCCATTAATTCTGACTGGTTCTTCCAGAGCTGCTGCTGGGATGTGTGTCTTTACACTGCCACAATCCATCCCCGAGGGCTATTTGAGCAGCAAGAGCCTGGGAAGTTCAGTGTACAAAAAGAAAATTACCAGCAGCAGCAAGGGAAGCACCGTTGTGGTCACAGCAGAGCTAACAGCCAGGGCCACTGGGGGCTGAGTTATCTTTCCACACCAATGACCCAAGAAAACAGGACAGTATTGCAGGGAGCAGCCAGGCAGCTCAAGCCTGTCTCCACTGAGGACCAGCTCTGCACAAATGGAAGCACAGCACCTTTAGCAGCAGCGTCTCCCCCCCCCGAAGTGGGGGAGGGGAGGGTGGTGCTGCCGCAGCCCCTGGCCAGGGCGGGCGAGCAGCTGGTGCCTGGCACTTCAATCCTGCTGCTTCCCAGCTCGCTGTGTAGGCAAATGGAGTATTCCCTCTCCTGCCAAACTCGTCTGTTTGGTCTGTCACACGCCTCAGCCATCACCCGTCCTGCTTATCTCCTCTCTGGTTAAACAGCGCGACACCTGCAGTGCCTCTGCAGGCTTTGCTGATTTTCTTGCATGTCTCCAGACCTCTCTGTGTAGGAGTTGGAGGGGAACAGGCACCCAGCTGTCATCCCAGTGAGGCTTACAGCCACTTCCTGCAGCAACAGCCCATTCCTTCATATACCTATACACGGCACAGCTCAGGTTTGACAATTGCTACCCACTACTGGAGATTTGCTTATAAGGTGAGCTAATAAGTTAATATAGAGCCACTGGGAGTTTAAATTAATCAGTGGACCAGAAACTGCATTTGTAGAGACTGCCAGATTAAATTCAAAAGCCTAAAAGATGCTAGATGATAGAAAAAGGGAGATGTGCGTGCCAAATACTGCTGTGCTCATGCGGAAAGAAGGAAGACACTGATTATATTACACAAGGATGATGAGAACAAATGCACATAGGTTAAGAGGACTTGGTAGTGACACTTGTGAGCCACTGATTGCTACTGTTCAAGCAGGGACATGGTTTTCTTCATTAATGTTTGCAAAGGCTCTGGGGACCCTGAAGAGTAAAAGAAAAGCATCATGATGCTGAAGGCTGTTCTTGGCATAGTGCCTTGCTCAGTTTCTTTCCTCCCAGACTGCAGATAGGCATTTTCATGCTCTTGCAACCTACACCCAGCACAACAGCATTCAGTCATTGCTTGAGCTTTTATTGTGCTGGTAACTCGGATGCTCCAATTCCCCAAATAGCCTTCATGATGCAGCTGAAGTCTGAGACCTGGGTGGGAGAGTAGACACAAAATACTAAGTCAAAAGCTATCTTCACTTGCAGCTATTGACATAGTGAGGACGGGGGCAGCTTGTGTCAGCTCAGACTGGTGGATTGGGCACGGACAGCCTGCAAATGCTCCACAGTGTTTAAGGATTCAGGATGGAGTGAGAGGTTATTCAAGGCAGGTGTTTCAGCTCCAAAATGAATACATGCAGCTAAGTCCTCTGCGTTTTTCACTCAAGTGTATGTGTGAGTGTATTTCAAGAGCTAGAGAGATACATTAGGACACAAATACAAGTTAGGTGTAAGACATTTTGAGAGGATACCTGGTTTGACTATTAAAAACGAACAGAGTCAAGCACTATGCATTTTCCAACGATGTTTATTTGTTTTCTGTAGCCCACTGACACAGATGGATCTGGCAATGGAGCAGATTCTTTTTTTCCTTAAAGTGTCTATGTGACATTAAGTCAAGGCTAACACTGTAGTCAAAGGCATTTAGAGAGGGCAGCAGCAGAAGCAATGAGAGGTGTTGGGAGGAGGCTGTACAGCAGGGCAAGAGGGGCAGGGAGCACCTTCCCTCCCACTGCCACAGTGGAGATAGGGTGCAGATACGCATACAATCTTTTTGGTTATCTGTACCAGACAAACATAGCACCATGCAACACAATCTGCAGCTGGAAGTGGGTGGAGAGCAGGATATGGATAGTTATTGCAGTCTGCTTTTTCAGAAGCCATGTGCCTCGGAAGTGCAGCTGCCTGTGTCAGGGAGCAGTTTGATGAGTAACCAGGCTGTCAGCAGCTGGGACACAAGCTCCCAAGTGGCATTTGCTTGCTGAAGGGAACCACAACTCTCAGGATGCATCTACTGGGATAGACCTCTCCCTTGGAGCCAGATCCACTCTGCTGCATTTCAAATGGAGTTCAAGTATCTAAAATACTGTGTAAAGAGCCACCTATCTATTTTCTTCACAGGAGGTGGACTACCATGGTGTCTCGTCAGGTTAAGGTTCCTTCCCAGGGTGCCTTCCCTCCCAGCTCTGGCCCAGACCTGCACCTTCCATGGCGACTGGCTGTCCAGCCTAGCTGAAGGCGGCACCACCTCAAACATCATTTCTCTTCTAAAGGAATATTGGAAGAATACCTTCTCCTGATCATACCGTGCTGCTAGCAATTCCACCCACCTCCCACCCTCCAGCCCAGGTCCCACACAGTCCACCGCCCCATGCTGTGTGTGCTGGCCCCACAGAGGCTGGGCCATGGGTACAGGAGGGTGGCGCACACACACAGGATTGCTCCCTTTCACTTTGTTTCACCCAGTCACAGACCTTCCAGCACCTGAATACTCCTCTGCCAAGTGGTTCCTTCACCCCAAGCAATCTGCACAGCAGCAGCCAACCCAGAAGTCTCCACGGTGGGGGGCGACTCGTGTACCCCGGTTTGCAGCTGGGACCTTAGCTCAGCCCTAGAGACTGAGAGAAAGGCTTTGGAAAGGCGGGCTGGCTCCTGCAGCCAGCACCATGCCCTTGTCTCAGCCAGTTACTGTACAAAATGGACAACACACACACATTATTTACAGCCTGTTTTTCACATGATGGAGCAGCTCTTGGCTCGGTCTTTCCTGATCTCTGTGTCATTCAGTAAGTCCGTCCTGCCAGGCATCTGTGATGCCCGCTTCAGTCCCCGTTTGGAGTTGCTGCGCTTCAAGTTCTTGTGCACCCTGTTGACTGAGGCAAGTGTGGTCACATGAAACACATCCCGTACGCTGTTCTCTGAGACCTTGGAGGAGCACTCTGCATAGGCCACTGCCCCAATCTGCCGTGCCAGCGCACTGCCCTGTGGTCCAGAGAGAGTGGGAGGAAGAGGGAAGACGGTTAAGACACCAGCGTTCTGCAAGGAGCATCCTTTCACACCACCGTCAGCCCTGTCTGTGCTGGCAGCCCTATCAGAGCACTGTGGCACAGCTGGGAGCGGCTCTCACAATGTTTGCTCATCATCTCTGTAAATAAAGTGCAAGTGTCTGTGAGAGCACCAGATGTGCAGGTGGCCTCCCAAGCAGACAGTGCTACCAGGCACTGGACCCTGAATCACTTGCACCTTCTCACTAATGCGGTGCCACCCCTGCAGCTGAGGGCCTGGACAACCCCTCTCACCAGGACAGTCATCTGGGACCTGCTCTGCACAACACGGAGCCAGGCACAGAGCAGCCCAGAGCGCAGCTGCCCCTGCACTGCACCACAGAGACTGGGTCTCCGGGCCAGCCTGGGGACACTGCTGGGTCCACTGGTGGCCACAGAAGCCCAGCAGCAGACCCTCAGACCCCCCAGCTGTGGCTTGCCCCCCCCGGCAGTGTTGCCCCAACACAGAACACAAGCAGGAGAGTCACTCGGAGCAGAAAGAGCTGCACTGAACTAGGAGATGCAGAAGCACAACACGCCCCTTTAGCCAGTCCAACTTGTCAAGTCAGGCATCTCCACCAGCTTTGAGGAAAGACTTTTCAGCTACTAACCAGGAGGCTGTTCAGCAGAGCATTAGGAATAAGTCAAGGTCTGCCAGAGCTGGGGAAAAGAGTGCTGTAAGCATGAACAGCTCAGAATCCATGAGCCAAGATCAAACCAGCTTCTGACCAAGACCTGGGCACAGTGGGTCATTTGCTGCTGAGCTTCCTTGTCCTAGTAGGTCCTGCAGAAAAGTCCCCTCCTCACCTCCCTGAGCCCTACGGGGACGGCTGCTGAAACACACCTGCTCGTGCGTCACAGGGATGAGGCGCTGCTTGGAAAGCTCCCGGAGCGTGTTTAAGTCTGTCCGCATGTCCAGCTTGCAGCCGACCAGCACAATCTTTGCGTTGGGGCAGAACTCCTGAGTTTCCCCTTGCCACTGCAGAGGAGACAAGAGGGAGAAGGTGCTCAGGGGCTGCTGGTGTACGAGACGCTTCAAGAGGCCCAGCGGCACCTCCACGTCAAGTTAATTTTGGCAGAAGGCGGCCTGCAAAAGGGTCAAGGTTGGAACAACAAAGGCAATCACAGGGTCTCAGCTCGTCGCTCCCAGTCCCTTTCCAACCAGGCCAAGAGCCCTGTCCAAGATCCCCCGGCCCTGGAGTGAAGGACAGGCCAGGAGAGTCATGCCATCAGTTCCTACCCAACAGCATCATCCAGCCAAACACCTCCATGTCTCACTGCCATGGCAGAGCCCACCAGTCTGGTCCATAGCTCCTCCTGCTTCCACCAGCAAACGGCACTTCTCTCCCCCACAGAGGAATGATGACTGTGGCAGCCTGGGGCCCCAGGACCTCCTGACCATCAGCACATGCTGCCAAGCCGCCCTGGCCTGGCTTGTCTCTGAACAGGACCTGGAACTGGACCCGTCAGGGTACCAGGACTGCTACTGGTAGCCACTGCAATGCCGCTTTTAGGTCTCCTGCCTCAGAGCTGCAGTGCCTGGTGCCAGCACTGAGGCTGGTTTTGGCCCCGCTGCAGCCTGCATACCCAGATTTCAGGAAGAGGGGAAGGGGCACAGGCAATGGTGGTCACCATGGTCAGCAAGGGCTCTCAGTGAGGATGCAGGCTGGGAGCGGCTCTGGAGACTGTGCTGAAGACAAGAAACACAGGGACAGCCAGCTTTTGGTGTTCTGAATATAACATGAGGCTCTAATGGGATCAGGTTTGGAAAGCAGGCTTCAGAGGCCAAGACCGTGCACTCTGGTGTGTATGGGGGGGTCACAGCTGTTCAGAGACTGATTAGCTCATCAGGGCACTTTAATGACTGCCACAGGCAAGGATGGGAATAGTCGGAGTGCCTCTTGGATAACTTTATGCTCACTTGTTCCAGATATGCCCTGCAAACCTGTTAAATCTAAGCTGCAGTCCCCTGTGCTAGGCCACGGGAGACCGCTCTGGGTATGACTGTGGAAAAATAATGACCACACAGTCTGGTGCACAGATCTGGGACTCCAAAGGTCAACCTCGCTGGACCTTTTGAACCACAGTCAGCGGGTAGCTCTTTGCACAGCACACTCATTATTTGTTTATTATTGGGAGCCACATGTTAAAGACATTAAGACATTCAGAGCATAGCTACAGCCAGGGAAATAAAGAATTGAAGCAATGAAAGGAGAAGGCCAGGGCAAACATCCACATCCTTCACACTAATGGTCCCTTTCAGAGCTCCAAAAATGAATGCCCAATGTGCAGCTAAGTGTTGGCAGCAGTAAATAAAACCATCACCTGTGACTTCCCCCTGGGGACCTGTACAGCCTCATCAGCATGTCAACACCCTGGTTACTTACCTAGTGTTTCTGAAGTACGAGACAGATGATAAATAGAGATTACCCCCAGGTAAAGATGTCACTTGGAATTAGCAATTTCCTGCTACACTGATTGTTAAGCATATACCCTAGGCAATTAGAAGGGGAAAGAAAACCAAGCCCACAACCCAGTGTCCATCACCTGGTGGGGAAAGGAAGTGCCAAGAATGACCCAAGTTTCATTCAACCAATATCAGACCAAAGCAACTGCAAAATACGGAAAAATCTTATTTTCCACCAGGAGGTGGGCTCAAGTATCTTCACCATGAACCCGCCTTCCCTGCTGCTAGGGACATTTGTCCACCAGGACTCACACACATCCCCAGCACCTGGGCAGCACGCCAGGCTGCACAGCTCCTGGGAGATTTCTGGTGTCACAGCCACACAGCATCAAGGGCTAACACACCCCCAAGAGGTGGATGATGCAGTTCTTTTGGAGCTGGAATTCAAGCACCCTAATCTACCTGAAGGATGAAAATCCTCAAAGGGATTGAGCTATAGGGTCTGTTCTTACCAGGCAGAGGTCACAGCTGCCTGTAATGGCATAGGGCTCCCCGGTCTATGGAGAGAGGTGTGACCCTCTTCTCACATGACTGACACCTTAGGGAGCCTAAGATTCGCTGCTCTATCAAGACTTTTCAGAATGAAGGCACCACCCTATGAAAACCTGCTTTGTATGAAATGAAGAGCTGCTTGTTTGCATTCTCTCAGATGGCTCCTTCCCTTCAACTGTACATGCTGTTCAGGCAGCCCAGGCATCAGAAGGGCAGCAATAATAAAGATTTCCTCTGCTGAATTAGCATTTTTGCCTGAGGCTTGAATAGGGAGTGTTATTTTCCTTATTCGCCTGATATCAAAAGCTAAAACCCATTTCAACTTCATGGTGTCTTAGGAATTTTCCTCACCTCCATAGGCTGCAAGCCTGCACCAAAGGAAACAAGGCATCTACTCAGAGGCACTTAAGAAAATCCCCTGTGATTTAGGGTTTAAGTCACCGTATCAAAAAGACATTGCCTAACAGTACTCAAAGCATCTGTGAGGCTGCACAGGGAAGACCTTGCACTGAGCAGTGCGGACTCACATGAAGAGTGTGCAGAGAGACATAAATAAATCCCAACCCCAGCTAATTATTGATGGGTTTGCATCTCATTGAGGTATAAATGATTTGCTTGCATTATTATTCTGCTGACTCCCAAGCTAAGCAGTGAATTCTTTCAGTCCACATGAAACACGCCTCCCTCCACCCAGCATGCTTGGTACCCGGGACCTGCTTTGGAAACAAACACTGAGCCATTGACCGAGTTATCTGAAGGGTCTTTGTCCTCTCACCAGGACACTTCTGAGACACAGACCCACTTCTCAGCCCTCCCAGCAGCTGAGTAAGAGGCTCTTGCTTCAGCACAACATTTGGCAAAATGAGGAGAGGCCAAGAGGGCATCAGTACAATGTGACTTGTTCAGACAGTGGCCAGTCCAGCCCTGGCAGCATGGGGTTGACTGGGGAGAACAGCTACAGGAATCACTATTCTGTAGTGCTTTTCATGCCTTGGTGTCTCAGAGAGCTTCACAAATGAGATGCCAGCCAAGACTCACCTCTGGGACAGGATGCAGCCACCAGTGAGCTCTCTGCAGCTTTGCTGCACAGTGGTGAGAGCTCACTGAAACCACAACTCCCTGAATTTCATGGAAGGAAGCAGGGTATTGCCAGGACCAAGGGATGCGAGTGGCCAGGAGGTCATTTACCCTCTCCCTGAGCAGCATCCTGAGTTGCTGGACTTCATGCCATCTTGGAGGAAAGCCTCACATGGGAACCTCTCCCTGGGTGCCACCTATTCCCTGAGAGCGTGGCAGGCAGGGACCTGCTGGCAGGCCAGCCAGCAGTGCTCCACAGTGGATCCCCAGCCCTGTGGGGCTCTCCAGGACCTGCCGGACCTGCCAGCTGGAAATACCTGCTTTGCTGAAAAGCGCTAACCTGCAGGTAAAAACTCTCAGCTGCTAACACAGAGCATGGCCAGTCATCTCTGCCAGGGCAGACGGTGTTCAGGGCCCTGCATGCTATCCAGTCCAGTGGCATTGTGCCATCTCATTTTATTCATTCACGGGCTTGAAATTCAGTGCCACAGCTCGTTATTCTTGTTGTCAAGCTATAGGGAACTGATTGCTGTCTTTCTTACTGTGCAGATGCTGAACTTAGGGGACAGACAAAAAAACTGAGCGCTCTACTTGCATGGAAACAGGCACCAGGGGCCACTTCCCAACTGCTGCAAGCAATTCATAGCACACTCACTGGTGGTTATGCTAATGAGAGATGCACAACACTTTCCAAGGTCTTAATGAAAAACAGAACAAATGCCCTACATTTCTCTCTGTCCCCACATTTGTATGTGTGCATAGACACAGACTCCACACACATGCTGCAAGCTACCATGAGCTACACCATTTACTGGGCTCCTTTCAAATGGAAATATCTTGCTTTCTGCACAGACCATGTCAGGATCGGTAGCAGCCAACCATCCCCATCTAAGCATGCAAACTCCAGCCAAGGCTTGGCCACAGGGCCAGAGCTTTTAGCCCTGATGACAGCCCCAAGGCAGCTCAACGTGCTGCTGCAGAGGACCCATTTTGCCAGCCGGAAGGCACACCAGGCACTCACCTTCTTGAGCACACTGTCCAGGGTCTCTGGGCGGCTGATGTCAAAGCAGATGAGCACAGCGTCCGAGTCCGGGTAGGCCAAGGGACGGACGTTATCATAATACGCTGAGCCTGCAGAGAGAAGCAGGAGGAAAGTGGTGAGCAGAAAGTCTCATCCCACTGACTGCTTGTTACCCGAATGGGCAGGCTAGGACCCCCAGCCCTCTCTGCCAAGCAAAGAGATCTTTAATTCCAGTAAGAACTGGAGACATTGCCACATGATGCAAACTGCTCTGTCGGAGATAAAGGATGTTGACCCAAGCTTTTGACCAGTGACCAGACACCATTAGGTTCAGCAGAGTTTGGTTTGCAGAGGATTTGGTCCCTTTGTTTAGGCGTGGAAGTCAGAGGTTTTGTCTGCGTGCTCCTACATTTATCCCTTTGCAGAGTGGAAATAAATGCAAGTTTTGCATCCCGCTCCCTCCCTACTAAGCATCTGGCAAGTAAGAGGCAGTGGAGCTGTGCTGCCAGGGCATGCTGGCTAACTGCAGAAAAGGGAGCTTGGAAGGGCTGTGAGACTGTAGAGCAGCACATGCCTCTCTCCGCCACTTGTGTATGTATCCTATAACTTGTCATGCAGTTGCTGAACCACTAACAGTGGAAAGGTGTGGCTGAGAGAAGACAGGGAATGCTGCTGCTATTTTTCATCCTCTCTTGCTATCTTTATACAGGAGAGCTTGCTCACATAGATGTGAGAATTTAAGACAGGTAAAAAAAGAATTGCCTTTTGCTGTGGATTTGTGCTGGAAAAAGTCAGACAGATTCTTTTTGGTACATAAAAGATGTGACAGGATTTGGTGAACAAGCTATAAATTGGAGGGGATGATTCTGTATTCTGCAGGATTTCTCAGTGAGCAGGCAGAGAGCCCAGCCTGAACCCTGCACAGCTTCTGCAGCACACACGCGTGCGTGCACATGCACACACACACACACCCCCCTTCAATGCAGATTTCAGGCATTAAAGTAATTGTCCCACAATGTTTTTATTTGAAGTGCATTCGGTGTGCGATTGTAGATGCCTCAGTAAACAGTAATGGAGCAATCAGCTTATTGCTACTTAAAAACACTGTTTCAGTTTTATATTTGGCTTTACAATGGCTTAAACTTCCTGGAGGGATGAGAAGCAGATGTTTATTTATGAAAAGGGGAAGCAGAGACACCAGAGTCCTTGTTGAATCTGCCTCCTCCGAAAGAAGGATCGCCCACCCCGAGGCTGAGGAAACCGGACGCGCTTCCTGCCGTGGCCCCTCGGGACGCCTGGGCCCAGCACTTTCCCACCCTGGGAAGAGGGTGGAGCACCCAGCCCGGGTGTCAGGTGGCTCCTTGATGAAGTTCAGCACCTGATGAATTATGGATGATGGTGGCTTATGTTTCCGGGAGGATGGGAATCTGCCTGGGATAAGTGTGAGAGGAGAATAGGCTGATTCTCCACAGGGGCTCTGACCCTGGCTCTTGTCTGCATGGGGGCTCACAACTGATGTACAGCACAGAGAGGGGTACAGCCCCTCCAGCACAGCTCTGCACACCAGGTGTGTTGCAAACACCCCAGAACCCTCTGCAAGACTCAGCCAGGAGAGCAGACCTGGCCGTGACTGCTCCTTCCTCTGCCCAGAGCCCACACAGGGCAGGCTGAGGACTGAGGTATGTTGTCTTCCCAAACCCTGCCCAGCTCCAGAGACTGGCCACCCATTCTCCCCTTGACACCAGCTCACAACAAGATACCAACAGCAGCCACCACTGGGACCTCCACAGCACAGAGCTGAGGGCATGCTCCAACCAGCGCAGCCCCAGCCGTGCCCACGCAGCCTCCACCGCTCTCATGGAGCCTGGGGCAGGCACCCTGGGATTCAATGCACATTTGAATTTGCAGCAACATCGGCTACAGGTATCTCCAGCTCTTACAGACAGCCACACTGCTGCCAGCCTGCAGGAGCAAAGGCACCTGCACCCCCTGCTCCCATCAGTGAGAGAAGCTGCAGCCCGGGTCTCTGTCCCTGCAAAGTCACTGGGAAGAGAAGCAGTTGGGATCCAGCACAGAAAAAACAGACCCTGATCTCTGCAGAGCCCAGCCCTCTTCCTAGAGGGAAAGTCATGTTCCCTGCATGGAAAGGAGCCAGTCCCTGCAGTGCCTTGGCCAGCTCTGGGGACAGGGGATGCAGGCTGGTGCACAAGGAGGCACAGTGAGCCAGGGCGTCCCTGCATCCCAGGCATGGAGATTTCTGACCTTGCTTCAGGCTCAAGCTGCTTCAGTTCACGATTGGCAGAGCTGGCATCAGTGAACCGCTCCCTCCCATGCTCCTGCAGCACAGCAAGGTGACCCAGTTCTTGCTGAGGATGAGGCCGCTTTCGAAGGCAGCACCAAGCTCAGTCACACCAAGCTCCCCTTTGGACTGCGTTTTTCAGTCTTGTGCCTAGTGTGGGTTTACCGGACGGGATGTGAGATCCAGCACTGACCTGCATGCTTGGATTTGCTTGGTCCTTTACCCAAGCCATGCTCTCTCCCCCATGCACATAAGGGTATCTGCTTCCAGACAGGGGCCCCCAGCACACACTGGAGGAAAGTGTTCCTACACACATCCTCTCCCTGCAGCTCCTCAGCTTTACATAAACACTGCAGATAAATCTGCCCCCTCCCAGCCCAGGAATGCTCCTTTTGTAGAGGTGGTTTTGGCTCCATTCAGCACAGACATTGCCACAGCAAACTGTATCATAGCAACCTGCTGCTCCCCTCAGCAGCCAGCCAGCTCCTCCACAGAGAGCCTGCATGCCCGTGCGCAGCAGAGCAGGGCCCCTTGGTTATCCCACAGAACCACCACCGTCCCCAGCCCGGTGCCAGGAATCGTGCTCTCACCACCTGGGACCATGGGAGGAAAGACCCCTGTGCTGGCAGGAGGACATGAGGGAAGGGATGCACGAGGTCAAGAGCCTCATTTTCTTAATGAGATCAAAATTGCCTTCGTATTCATTAACTTTCTGCTCCAACTCCAAAGCACAGGAGCAGCCCCTGGCACCTTCGCTGGTAGTTCAACTCACCAGCTGCTCTGGCAGCGGGTAATAGCCAGCGCTCACAGCCTCGGCTGCAGAAGCCTCTGGCCCACCCCAGGAGACTGATGGAAACTGATGGTCAGTGCTGCCCAGCAGGGCAGGAGAGCCGCTGTGCTCCAAACTTAGGTAATCTCCAGCTTTCTTTGGAGATGTCTCTACTGAATCAGGGAATTCTGTTTGGGGGATTATTCTTTTAGTTTTTGCATCTATTACTTTTTCATTGAGTACAACAATTAAAAAAAAAAACAACCACAAAAGCCTCAGTTCCCTCAACTCCAGGTCTTCAGTTTTATTGATTCTGAGCACTTGACACCTTTCAGATATTCCAGCAAGACACCCCAGAGACCCACAGTCTGGCACTTCCGAACACACACGCACCTAAGGCTTGTGTGTCTGCAGATCCAGCCTTCCTTTACTGCATGAGTCATTCTCCCACTTGGCACCCAGGTTTGCAAGAAACAGGACCTATGTGCATCTGTTCATGATTAAAGAGAGAAAATTGGAGCAAGCCAAAAACCAGCTTAAAAATAAAATCCACGTGGTGGTTGTCTGAAATTCAGGGGTGGATACAGCCATGAGTAGCTCCTCTTTCTTATCAGCTGGCAACCCCTCAAAATGCCTGGCACTGAGTCAGAGTACTCTGCTCTCAGGCAGGGGACTGAAATGTGCTGTTTCATCTATACCAATATAGTGTTAATCTTCATTTGTTCCTTATTAGCTGTTCTGAGAGATAATGAGCCTCCTCACATGGGCACCCTCCATCCAACAATAGGACATTACAAACCAGGAAAGCAAATATGCATGCAGAGCCATGATCTGCTCTGCAAGGGGCTCCCACAACCCCAACCAGCTCTGGCTTGAAACAGAGACAAGCACTGCCAAGACCTAAATTTTTCAGCATCGCACTTATCTCGGAGGGCTTACTGTAAACTCTCCCCATAGAGCCAGCAACGTTGCGGTGCATGCTGCTTTCTGCAGGGACAGCCAAGAACATCCTTCACAGAATGAAGCAGAAATTCATCCCAGCTTTCTGGAGTGCTGCATTGACAAACCCGAAGCGCCTCGGGTTACCTCCCCGCACAGCAGTGCCAGATGAGCAGCAGCCTTTAGAGACTACAGAGAATGTTTTCTTTGCTAGAAGAACCGCTAGTTCAGCCAAGCCTTTATCCGGAGGACAAAGCTGTCAAAGCAGGACCAAGGTGCAGCTGTCTCAGTATCCTCTCCCCATGCATGGCAAGAAGCCTGTACCACCTCTCAGCCAGCATCAGACACGAGGAGACTATCCCCTCCACTGCCAGGGGTCCAAATCGCCCTTCACTGAGCTTCACCATCCATGTGGCACTCCAACACCTCCCAAGATGGGGGCTGAAACCCTTCGGAGCTGCTGTGTACCAGCACACGTGCTCAGTGTTTCCTGAGGCTAAGCAGGGCTTTCCGGAGCTGAATTCACAGCTCCAAGTGGCCTTTTGTTGCAAAGAAATTTAGCTGAGTGACTACTTACTAGAGGCAAAGGCCCTGCGTGCAGAGGCATGGCTCTGAGCGCCCTTCTCAACTCCCCAGGCTGGGCAGGGATTCCTTCGCACAGCTGCAGCAGAGGACTGGTGTGGGAGCAGGACACTCACGTTCAATCACCGCATGCTTTCCCCATGTGAGTGTGCTCCAGACCTAGTTAATATTACATGAGGTGCCAGTGATTGTAACGGCTTTCACGATTAGTCGTTCCTCTGCCAGGGCAGATGATGATGATGATGGTGTTAATAATAATAATAATAACAACTTTTATTTGTATCACACGTTTAAGACTGAAAATGAAATCTCTGTACAATTCACAGACATGCTGGGCAGAGAACAACCCTCCCAGCTGCTCCTGGATCAGACGGCAGCAGTGCAGAAAGCTGCCGCTGGGGGAGGATATTGCAACAGCCCAGGCAGCTTCTGGCCGTGCCAGCTGGGTGCCCCCCACCCCTACCCCCTGCCCCTCACCCAGCTCTACCAGAGAGGCTGAGCTCCGGGGTAAGGCTTTGAACAGGCTCTCCCAGTGCAGGCAGCCATTTGCATGAGAAAGG